AGGTTTGGCTGCTCGTTGTTTGGAGATGCGGTTGTCTGTGGTCATTGGCGTTTTTCCAGCGAGTGTGAGGAAGACGCTGAGGGGTTTGTGGCTGGTTGTTGGAGCTGAAGCTTAGGGTATTATGTTTTGGGTGTGCTGAAGATGGAGAAGAAAGGTCTTCAATGGAGGAGGTCGTTGACGTGTGGCTGAGTAGAGTGGTTGCCGGCGTCCAGTGAGGCGGGGGTGGCGGCAGCAGCGGCTCTAAGGTGATTAGGTTCCTCTAGGGTTCGTCATTTTTTGTGGAAGATAGAGTTTATATATGGGGGTATGGGGAAATATGGACCATTAAATTTGGTGGGGATGCAAAATTGAAATAACACAATACCAGCCCAAGAATCTTAATCTTCCTTCTAAAAATAACATAAAATCTATACCATAAAATACAAAACTAATTCTAATTAATTAAAATAAACAATATTATATTGTGAAACTATTTTTGGTATTTTTTTAAGACTGTATAAAAATAAAAGTAGAGAAAAGAATAAAAAATAAAAATCCTAGTAAAGTAGTATGACTACAAAAACATTAATGAAACTATTTTTGTATTTTTTTAGAAGATCATACTAATAAAATAGATAAAAATGAGTGAAAATAGTATTACTACATAAAATACTAATTAATCTTAAATTAAATAGACTTGAGACTATTTTTGTGTTTCTGATTTTTTTTAATACTAAAACAGACCAAATAAAATAGCAATAAAAATAATATATTAGAATCCTAGAAAAAAAATAACTCAAATAAATATATAAAATATGCGAAACCACTAATATAGCTTGAAGACGTGGTGGGTCATAATTTACATGTCTACAATGGGAAGAAGGGAATGTCTCGGAGGATATTTTATGGTGAATTGGGTTGAAGTGAGGTGGCATGTCCACTGGTGTATCATTGCATGAACTAGATTTGGGTTCAATGATGGTGCTAGAGGGTGGAGGATGTTGTTGAGCCAAATTTGGTTCAAGTAATTGCTCATTGCCAGACCCATCCCCTCCGTTATTAGTTGTGCTAGGTATTGAGTGTTGTAAAGGATTACTATTGCCTCCTGGCCATTGACTTGGATGCTAAATGAGACTGCATGTCCCATTAGCCCCATTTCCATCCACGAAAGTGGTTGGTAGTCTTGGGCTTGAGGGGGTTGGACATAGATCACTTGAGGATTTGCTGGTTGTGGTGGGGCTTGGGGTAGGTTTTCCTTCGTTTGGTTTCTTTGTTTCCTTAGTATTTGGATTAGTCTGTTCCTCCTTCTCGGAGAAGATGGGATTCTTGGCATTTTGAGTAGATTGTTTAGTATTTAATGGGCTTCCAAAAGGCATGGAGTTTGGGTTAGGAATAAATGGGGTGGGATTGGTGGTAGAGGTAATGATTGTAGGGTCTTCTTGCATGGCCTCAGAATAGTCATCTTTTTAGATTTATAGAGTGAATTTGAAAGGATTTGATATCCTTGTCGTGTTCCCTGGGAATGACCATTTGTTTATATTTTGGTTCCTTAGATACCATGTGGACATCATGCTTTGGGGGTTTAATATTCTCAAATCTTCAGGGAAGATTGTTGTTTGTATAATCAGTAGTAGAAGGATTTGTAGTATGTTTATTAGCTTGTTTAGTGATTTGCCGTGTTGAGTTAGAAGTCCTATTAGGGTTAGTGATTTTATTGTTTGTATCTAATAGCCTATCACGTTTTTCATTACTAGTAGAGGTAGGTACGTCTGATTCTGGTAAAGCCACGTCACTCATCATAGAGTCCAAATATCTCATTGCATGGGAGTTTTTAGGAGATATAGTATTTTTATTTATTTTAATTTTGTCCAAAACCATGTGCTCTTCATCTAAAATGGTGAAGTGCTTTTGGACTGGAAGAGTGGTATTGCCTATGTTCTTCTTCGTCGTAAAGTTCTTAGTAGAATCTTTTGATTTATATTGTAAAATAACTTGAGTGTCGATGTCTGTGTTTGCATTGAAAAGATTTACTGAGATACCTGGGCCTTGAAGTTTCTCCTTTGGGGTGTGATTTTTAGCAGGATTGTTTGTCACATGCTGCCTCTTACCGTTGTTGAAGGTGACAATTTTCCATTCACCTTCTTAGTTCTCCTCGATTGGCCTTTGTGTAGTAGTATCTGGGCAGGAGTTTGTTTTTGCATGTTGCTGGATAAATTTACAAATGGTAGAGGTGTGTCCCAATCTTCCACACTTCATACATAGTAGGTGTTCCCCTTCATAGTGAATATACTACTTGTGTGTACCAATATAGATGAATGGTTGCACTGGAAGATCCAAAGGAATTTCCACACAGAGCCTAGTGTCGCGACCCCTCATTGTTGTTGATGTACAAACATCAATTTTCAGTAATCGACCAATGGAGTTGCTAATTTTTTCTAAGATTTTTCCATCATAAAACTCCGTTGGTAATTATGGCAATCTAATCCATATTGCTGAGGTTAATTTTTCGTTGGTAGCCACAAAATTTGGTTTCCATTTGATCACAGATAGGTAATGACCATTTACAAACCATGGACCTTGATGAAGAGCTTTATCCATATTTTCCTTTTTTTTTTGAATTTTGATGATAAAGTAATCTTCTCCCAGATCAATTGAGGAGAAGATTTCCGTTGGTTTCCAAAGCTCTTGAATTTTCTTTGTTAGGTATTGATGCATCATGCGTTTTCCAAGCAGTTTGATAATGATGGAACATTGCCATGGTTCATAAATTCTTTATTTATCCTCCTCCGTAAGTGTGATCGATCTAATGCCTTGTGTGGGGGAGTATTTGATTAATTTGTCAGTGTTTCTCCTTCTTCTGAAAAAGATTCTGACAGCTCTATGTTGGATTGGTTCACGTTTGGGGCAAAATCCATATGGTCTGAAGATGTAACCATGTCCCTATATGACGTTTTAGCTTCTCTACAATCCTGTCGTGTGGTAGTTTGGGAGGTAATGTCAGGCGCTTAACGAAATATCGTTTGTCTTTTTTGCCCTTTAAAAAATCGATTTTGTATTGAATAAAATTATAATTTAATCTATTTTCCTAATATTAAGACTTTGAAATCTATTAATATTTTACTTATTAAATTGTTCAATATCTAAACTATGTCTGAAGTTCTATTATTTAGGATTAAAAAATATATTTATGCGAATTAATAACAAACATATAAAAATTTCTCCAACAAAGTAAACCAACCCTATTACATAACATCTTTAAAATTGTATTAGACTTTCAATTTATTTATTTATTTTTTTTTTATTTTATTTTTTTTAGGTTTTCGACAATAAAGACTTTGAAGTCATTATCGACACTTTCATATATTTAATATTTTACCTCCTTTCATACTCAAATAGTAATATTTTTTTCATCGTTTTAATAATATTTGGAAAGTATACTAAATGAACAAATAACTAAGTATTTTCTCTTCATCGATTATATGTTTAGTACTTGAAACTGTTCTCAATAATTTAAAAAAACAAATAAGATAATATTAAAGAATGTTAAAAATAAATCACGAGGACAATATTGAAGGATAACAATATTGAGATAAAAAGTCCAAGGTTAAATTAAAAATAAAAATTTATTCAAGTTTCCATATGATAAGATCAAACAAATATTTATATTATACGTATATTCTTATTTTAATCCAATGACTCAAAACATCTACCTAAATAAACTGTATCCAATAAATAATTTCGATATTATCTAATCACTATATTATAATCTATGTATAATATTTTGCAGTGTTCTAAATGAGCTTTTAGTAATTATTTTTCTTTCTTTATCATCCATCTCAGCATATCTATGTCTTTTTTATATATTACTAAGTTATTTATGGTAAAATATCAACTCAACATTAGTCATCTTTATACTATACACTATCGTTAAGAAAACTTCTTAAACTATAGGGTAATTTCTTCATTCCCAAATCTCTAAAGAGCTAGAGATTTAATTTTTAAATAGGTGTTAATTAATAAATCTTTAAAGAAGATAAATGTATTTATGCATAAATATTTGCTTTTAGTATTAGGGTACAAAAATAACAATAAATTTCATAAGATATTTCCACAGAAGTCTTTAGAAATCACGATAAGGCATCTTAGGATTTATGTGGAGAAAGATTTCTTCCTTTATTAAGATAGCTAAATGGGATCAACATATATTATTTTCATGAACTTACAATTTTTATTTTTTCTTTTATTACTCAAAGATATTATTTAAATATTACTTATATAATTTTTTAATATTATATGTTCATTAATATGGGTACATGTGTGAAGTGAGTAGCCTAAGACTAGTTAATAAAATAGAGAAGAGCCATAATCTATTAGATGCACAAATGCATCAACTTTTGCATAACCATTCAAGTAAATTATGTACATTGATACTCTTAGCAATTTAATTTATGTGAACCACACAATATAAAAAGGAGAAAAAAAAAACTTAATACCAAAACGTTAATTTGATTCACTAAATAGATTGTAATCTAGAAGCATGTGAAACTGAATGATAGTTGTTTGTTATGATTAGTAAAATAGTGGTCCTCATGAGGAGGTTCATCATTTTTAATCTTCCAAAATTACACTCTGTACTATAGTGTATAATCACTCTTAATATAAAATAAGATCATTAAAAGCAATGTAGTATGTTCAAAAATTTACTCCCGGGACATTTTCTTAGTTTTACGGAACTAACTTCCATATGGACTTTGGAAGTAAGCTTTTTTTAATAGTGCTAGTTTTCTTATGCTCATATATATGTTTTATTTAATTGAAGAGAATAAGAAAGATTATTATCCTATGAATACTTAAAGGAGGATGAGAACAAATTAAACAAGGTAAAATTATCTCAATTCAACATGATCTTTGTAAAATGGCAAAACATATATAGCTTGAAGTTTATTACATGCATAGAATCATCCATATTTTACATCTGCTTCTCATGAGTATATTTTATAGAAACAGGTACAAGAGCAATATTCAAGAGGCAAAATAAAGCTTTTCAAATTCGTAATAAGCTAAAAGTCCAATCGATCGAGAAGGATGCAACTAAAAACCAGAAAGCAAATATATTTAGGAATACATATTTTTTGCTACGGAAGTTGAAAGTAGCAAATAAGTAGAGACTAATTAATCCTCCATGATAAAAATATAGAGTACCAGCAGTAAGAAGTTTGCGAACAAGACAAACAAATTAAAGTCAAACATAAATATATTTTCTTCCGAGTGGCCTCATAATATCTCCCAGTAGATCCCAAATTTTGCTTCACTACTCCTCCAACATCTAGGCCTACATTAATCAAGAATGATTTTCATTAGATAATTAGCATTTCGCATATACAAAAAGAAACTATAAAGAAGGATGAAAAAAAATAAATGCTTACATTGTTGCTGCTCTCAGCCAAGGTCCCATTTGGAGTATTAGGAATGTACCTAGCCCACTATATCAACAATTTTATTAGATTAGTAGCTACACTTGTTATAGAAAAATAAGGTTGTAGACTAATTACAAAGTTTATTATTTTAATATGAGAGTGAAACTCACATTTTTGGCTGCTGCACTGAAAGCCTCTCGGTGTGGAATCTCTGGATTTGCTGCTTTGATGCGTTGTATCTCATCCCTTTATAAAAATGAAACAAATTAAGAATAACTCAAAAGGAATATTATTGATAATTTTAGGAGTTTAACATAATCTATGAGCATAAAATTACAATAAATGAAAACTGAATTAGTGAAAAAAAAAGAGAGTGGACGATGTTTACTTCATGAACCGATTGTAGGCAGATGGAAGCCTGTGCTTCTTCTCAGGAGCTTCGTCCATAGTAAGAAAACAAAAAGTAAAAATCATGATTAGTTTTCTTGTAAGCTACTGAGCCAAACAGACACGAGTTAAACTTGTATACATCATCATTCTTAAAATTTTTTTACACTATCAGGTCAATTATACCTCTTTTATACTTCAAGATTATTAATCTTACATTTTAAGGAAGCTTACCTATAGATGTAAAATGAAATTACACTGAAGAAACTATAAAGGAAAAACATATATACGTTTTACAACAAAAGGTGCCTTTGGAGACGAGGGTTCACTTGAAGATGAAGATGAAGACTGGCCCTTCTTGAAATCGCTGAAGAAAGCTTGATGCTTTGACCAAAAAAGAAACATCGATCAATCTACCCTTTATAAGAATTGATCAAACCAGAAAAATGGAAATTACAAAAAAAAAGAAGCAATGTGAATAATTAATTACCTGAAGAGCGGTTTGGTGATCAAAACATTGGCCTTGAAGTGGAGGTCTTGTGCTTAAAAAGGAAAGGTTACTGCAATGCCCACATTTCACTGTCACTGTATCCAACAGCCTCTTGTATGGAATTCCAACCTATATAACAAAATCAGATTTAACTTAGTATTCACTGATAATATAAATAAAATTTCACATGTTTTTTGACTTATTTCACTTATTATAACTATTTATAAATAATTACCTTTTAAATCACATGACAATATGTAAAAGTTTAATCTTACCAAAAAGGGACCACCAGGAGCGTGTTGAGTGGGTTCTTTTTTTTTTTTTTTTTTGGGGGGGGGGGGGGGAGGGGTTGTTAGACATGATTCATCTGGGTGTGTGCATATCATCGCTAGCGTAGCCACCTACAATGAAGAGTGTTCAGTTGAACACCCTTCGTCAAAAAATTATATTGTAAAAAAGGGCATCTCGGTGCACTAATCTCTCACTATGTGAGGTCCGGAGAGGGCCGGACCACAAGGGTCTCATGTACGCAGCCTTACCCTGCATTATATTGTATGTATAAAATAGTATACTGCATATATAAATCAAAAGTTACTTCTTATACATATATATTAAATCTTGAAAACCTTTAGTAAAATTCTTGGTTTCACCACTGCATATCATGATCATCCATTCTTATCAAATATCAGGTGTGATAGTATGAGTGTGTACGTGTATAATATATATGATGAAAAACAGAATGTTGAAAGTGAAGAATCAGAGAAATGATAGTTATAACAGTAGTATATATATATACTGTATATTGTAGCACATGTGATTTGACAAAGTAGATTTGCTCTCTTCTTGCTATATATAAAGGTCATATAAGAAGGAAACAATCACAGTAGCTTTCTTTTGAACTTTCCTGTCTTTCTATTCTTTGCCCTTTCAAGAAACTATACATAGAAATCATGCATCAAAATAATGATTGAAACTTCTTCAATTTATAGATAACTAGAAATATATAAGATTGATAGAGACAGTTAAATGGGCATTGCATGAAATAGAGAAATAAATACCGCAAGAACAGTGTTGCAGAAGCTGCAACGGACATAACAAAGATGTTCAGAAGATTGAACCAAATCCATGGAGTTTCTATCAGCAGCTTCCAAGTTGACACAAGAGCTAGCAGAACTAGGAGAAGAAGAAGACATATTTTTATTTTGGAGTATGAAGACTAGTATATGGGCAGAGAGCAATATCTAGCTAGGGTTTGAGCTTTGTAACCAGCTGGATACTTTTTTGGAATATTAGGGTTATAGCAAAGGAAACAACAGATAAAGTTGCATTCACACTTAATATATATATATATATATATATATATATATATATATATATATATATATATATATATATATATATATATATATATATATATGTGTGTGTGTGTGTTGGTTTAATATCAACTTTTAGTTTATCAAGTACTTTGAATCTCCAACGGAATTCTTTTAAGGGTAAGTGGTAGGTCTTTTCAGAAATTTGGCTCTACCATGGCATTGCAAGAGTATCAATGTATCATCATATTGTTGAACAAAATAAAGTAAAAAAAATCAGGCTTAACTTGATTTGTTAAGCTTAAATCTATGGTGTGGATGAAGTACACATTTGGCCAATATATCAAAACCTACATAAAAACCTCATTATTATAACCTTCTAGTAGGGCTTAACTTGCACAACTGCACCCAAATATAACATATTGTCACTACCCGGAAATTCCACTCTTGGGACCGTGATGGCGCCTAACATTTCACTTGCTAGGCAAGCCAACGTTAGAATAGTTTATCCATTTTTAACAGTTCAAATTAAATGATAATAAAGAAGCTGAAATAGCTGAAATAAATCTGAGGTAAAGAGCGAAAAAACTATAACAATTGAAATAGCTAATACAATCCTGAATCAGGTGTCACAAGTGCACGAGCTACTAGAATAATACAAATAATTGTCTGAATGAAAGTAAAGTTGTCCGAATAAAGAATACACAGGTAAATAAAGCAGAAGGGGACTTCGGGGCTGCGAATGCCGAGCAGTTGTACCTCAAGTCTCCCTACTGATAGTCAACCCGAGCAATCTACTAACCGCCGCTGGGACCGACTCCAAAATCTACGCAAGAAGTGCAAAGTGTAGTATGAGTACAAACCGACCCAATGTACTCTGTAAGTGCCGAGCCTAATCTCGACGAAGTAGTGACGAGGCTAAGGCGGGTCACTTGCAATAACCTGTATACAGTATAAAATAATGACAGGAAAGAAAATACGAAAACGAAATAAGGCAGTTAACTCACGAAACAACTCAATCCTCAAAGGAAACCAGTAAATGCCAAAATTACCAATCCTTGGAATCTCGTACGAAAGTACCGAAAACAACACAACGCAATAAGGAATGTAAATTACAAAAACTATTGCGGCGCGCAACCCGATCCTAGCGTACAACACAATTCTCCCTTATTCCTCTATGTAATTATTAGTAATGATAAATAAATACGTGTTGCGGCGCGCAACCCGATTCCACCATATAATCAGAGGCAATATCATAATTCACCCTTATTTCACCATATCAATCCACCCTTATTTCATCTGTTGCGGCACGTAACCCGATCCTACCATATCAATATAAATTTTACCCTTATTCCACCTGTTGCAGCGTGCAACCCGATCCATAAATAAATCAACAAGCGCAATCAATTTAACAACCCGAATCACAAGAATCTCTACGATTAACAAATATGAAAGCTATAATTTGATAAGGAATCTCGTAACAAATCATGAAAGGCTACAATTAACACTGAGCAACGAGACAAGTCAAATATATGGTAGTTAAAGGGAATAAATATGACAAATAAGACAATTATCAATTAAATATGGAAACACAGAAGGAAATTTACATTTAATAAGCGAGAATAATAGATGACAAGTAGCAAGTTAAGGCATAGGAAGCAACTATTTCATGTAACAATTAAGACATGAACGATATAATTAATGAGGGCAGGCATGGAAACAAGTACTTGGCGGCATATAGACACGCGTCACCTCGCATATACACCGCTATACATGAAATTCACACTCCTATTCCCTCAAATCAAGGTTAGACCCAACACTTAACTCATTCCGAAATCAACTCAAAGTTCAACCACGGCCTTGCCTTTCGAACAAGCCTCTAAACCAACCAAATCTATCAAATTATTGACTAAACGATATAAGCTTTATAAACTACTCACTAATGAAAGATGTTCAATTCAGATAATTATTGAAAAAGTCAACAAAAGTCAACCCTGGGCCCGCTTGGTCAAAACCCGAAATTCGGACCAAAACCCGATTACCCATTCACCCCCGAGCCCGGTTATGTAATTAGTTTCGAAACTCAACCTCAATTAGAGGACTAAATTCCAATTTTACAAAAATCCCTAATTCTACCCAAATTCCCAATTTCTACCATGAAAATCCTAGATTTAATATTGAAAACTTGTGAAATATAATGGGTAATTGAAAGAAAGTGGATTAAGGTTACTGACTAATGAATATAGGAAGAAAAACTCTAGCAAAAATTGCCTCTAAGGTGTTTAGGGTTCAGAATTTGAAAGAATGAGCTAAAATTTCGTATTTCCCTTTATTTTTTCAGGTGCAGATGTCGCAATTGGGACCTGGGGTCCGCAATTGCGAAACCCGCAAATGCGAGAAAATCTTCGCAACTGCGAAGTTTTTCCATCTCTTCTGCCATCGCAAATGCGATGGTTTTGTTCGCAATTGCGAACTTGGACTTCCGCAATTGCAATCGTTTGATCGCAAATGTGAACCACTCTCCCCTAGTACCCCTTAGCAAATGCGAACCTGATAGTGGAAATTAAAGTTCGCAAATGCGAACATTGACCTCGCAATTGCGAGATCAGAGGCTGCACCAGAATCAGATTTTCACTAGCTATTTTTCTTAGTCCAAACCACTATGAAGCCTATCCGACACTCACCCGAGCCCTCGAGACTCCAAATCAAATATGCACACAAGTCCAAAAATATCATATGAACTTGCTCGCGCAATCAAAACACCATAATAACACCTAAAACTACGAATTGGACACCAAAACTAATGAAATTTTCAAAAAAACTTAAGAACTTTCATTTTTAACAACTGGACGTCTGAATCACGTCAAATCAACCCCGTTTTGCACCAAAATTTGCAGACAAGTCATAAATAAAGTAATGAACTTTTACAAGCTTTGGAACCAAAATCCGGACCCGGTAGCAACAAAGTCAAACTTGAAATTTCTTTAAACCTTTAAACTTCTAATTTTCAACAAATTGCGATAAATCAAGCTAGGGACTTCCGAATTCAATTCCGGGCATACGCCCAAGTCCCAAATTACGGTACGGACCCATCTGGACCATCAAAACATAGAGTCGGGTCCGTTTGCTCAAAACGTTGGCCGAAGTCAACTCAAATGAGTTTTAAAGCACGATTTCACATTTTAATCAATTTTTCACATAAAAATCTTCCGGAAAAAGACACGGACTACGCACGTAAATCGAGGTAGGCTAAACAGAGTTATTCTAGATTTCGAAACGTAGAATTGTGGGTTAAAACTATAAATGACCTATCGGGTCATCACACCTATATCATGTCAAGAAGCTATTCAAAGGTTGATTTATTGTAATTAATTGTCTTTTCTTTAATGAGTAAAGAACATGATTTATCTTGTGACAACATTCAAATATGGGATATTATACTCTAGGTTTTTCACCAAAGGTCCCTGGTAATATATGATGTGCTATGTTACTGTCTGAATAACTGTCAGTGTCCTTGATTTAGGAAGAAAAGGGCAATATTGCGTATAGATGCTGATGAAAGTTAGGATTCATCTCTTTGACTTTTAGAATCTAAATTAAGATAATTTAGTATGATTTAAGCAAGCAACGGCTCGTGTCCTCTATCAAAAGGACAATGTAATTAAGCTTGAAAAATATGTAAATATATTTAATCACAAAAGGACAATACCCTGGATATGCAATAATTCTTGTAGTACTTGTCTGATTCTTTCGATTTAATTGTCTCTCCAGATTTCAACAGATCCTTTTCCCAGCATCTTTATATAAAGCCTTTCCCTTTGCCACTCTTATCAAATAAAAGCTTATCTAATCATCCTATACTATATTTTGTTGCTTTTGATATTTAGGGCAAATAAATATGCACACGATATTCAAAGAGATATGCCCAGAAATCACGGTGATGTTAACGCAATAAACTTGACAATGGGCAATTAGACTCTCTAAAAGGTTAACAACATGGATCAGAAAAGTGATTTTCGTTTTTCCTAGTACTGAACTTTTCTTAACGTCAAAACATAGTTATCACTGTCAAGCAAATTTTTTCTTACCAGTTTTAAAGGTATTCTACTATATTCCTATCATTATTTCTTTGAGCATAATCCAATTACACAAACATCTATTAGTACTAATTTCCCAAACAAGACTCAATATAATGACATTGACAACCTTTAAAAATCATCCATCTTTTCATGTTTGGCAGGTGACACTTCTTTAAAGTATTCCCTACTAAGAAATTCTCCATCAAAATTAAACTTACAATTAAGTTGATTAAAATGATGAGTAAATATAAATCTTTATCCTATAGGGCCGGGTACAAAGTAATTCCAAGAAGATGAATAAAGGGATCATATGAAGAAACAAAAAGAGAAGGTAGAAGTTGAAAGCATGCACGAATGGATCAATTAAACAAGTTTATGCTTATGGCTTCTCTAACATCTTCTAACCCCTTCTTTTCTTTTTATGTTAAAGAAAGAAAGCTGAAAATGACCAGTGCTACAATCACAAGTCACTGTCAATTGTCATAGTGATCTTTTAGCTGAGCTTAGGAGAGGGAAAGTTTCTGTCTTTTTGTTGATGGGACTATTCCTTGTTTGCTAAACAAGGAAACTAGCTATTTCTACCTTTCATCCTCTACAACTTTCTTTGTTAGTATAAACGACTTTCCCAAGAGACCGACCCTTTCTTTACCACTTCGGGTCGTTTGGTTGCCGGTTAGAGTTATGCAGGTATTAGTTATACATATATTAGTTATGCAGGAATTAGTTATGCAGGGATAAGTAATGCAGGGATTAGTTATGCAGGTATTAGTTATGCAGAGATTATTTTTTTGAATGTTTGGTTTGTTGTATTAGAAATTGATATACATTATATAAATTTTAAAGTAAAATGCCTGTTTACAACTATACCTCTGACCTTCTTTTACATTGTTTTTTCTCTCTTTCCATTTATGTAGGAAACAATTTAGTTA